GTTTCAATTTCACACAATCTTAAAAAACGGCACTAGCTAAATACTTAAGTCATTTTCTTATAAACGACAAGGAAGCCATTGTGAACCAAATAATTATATACTAAATATGTCGCCAGTGGCGCCACGGTTCGCTGCTACGATGGCAAACTCTTATAAAGGCCTGCAAATTTAAACTTCATAAAAATTGTTTTGGTTTCAATAACGGATTCTCCATAATTCAGCTACGCAGATTTCGAAAATAATATTAATTTTTTCTATCACTTACGGATTTTTTACAAATCTGGAAGAAAAAACTCTTACTATATCAAATTATCATTTCGTTTACCACAATGAACAATTTTTATTATTATGTTTGAGTTCTAGAATGATCGATAAGACTCTCACGTCGCGATTGGTCTAGAGAAATCTATAGCCAGCGGTTGTCAACATTTTAAGCATAACAAAATGTGACCCGATTTCAATGAAAATGATTCACTTGTGTAAAAGTACATATGACGTTTTGTGAAAAATATGTACATGATGGAGAAAAATGGATATCATCTTCGGATTCAGCGTACAGAAATTACCATAGAGCATATAAAAATTTCAAGACAAGAAAACCATCGCAGGCCTGTGTTATCTTTAATACTTGGCTAAAACAATAAAACATTTCTTCATTGGAAGTTTTAATCTACTGCTAAATTCTATACAGGATTTCACAATCACTACTTAAACTAAAATAAAATTAAAAATTCTCATTGAATTGAGACTTGCAAGTTAAGACATTTTCTCATCGAATTGAGGGTTACAAGTTAAGACTCTTTCTCATCGAATTGAGGCTTCAGGTTAAGACCTTTTCTCATCGAATTTGGGCTTACAAGACCCTTTCTCATCGAATTGACACTTGCAATTAAGACCCTTTCTCAACGAATTGAGGGTTACGAGTTAAGACTCTTTCTCATCGAATTTAGGCTTACTAGACCTTTTCTCACAAAATGGCTAACAAGTTAAGACTCCTCATAGAATTGAGGCTTAGAAGTTAGGACTTTCGGGAACGTCTAATGTGATAAAATGGGTGGTCATGTTAATAATAAAAAGTTAACACTGTTAATACAAATTGTTATAAAATTTTCTACTTATTACATCTGGATCATTATAAGTGCGTTTTGATATGGCAAATCAACTATGTGCTGCTTTAAGCACTCGTTGTAGAAAGGTCAAACTCAAAGTTTGTGAATTCAGATTTTGAGTAAATTAAAAACTTTCCTAAGACTCCAAATTTTTGAATCAATTTGTTAATTATTTTCACGTTGTATTAATCAGAAATATATTTTATAATGGAGAAGTAGATATGAGAGATATTAATAAAATATAATGTCGTTAAATTTTGATGCTTGTATAGTATTCAACCTCACATTTAGAAGCAGCAAAATTAAAGTATAAAGCATTGCGTTAGCCGTTATACTTATTAAACAGTGACAGCGTTTGTTTATCATTTTTTTTTACGCTTCTGTGCTATTTAAGCGCCCTCTATTAATATTTAATTTATCAAGAAGACATTACTGTAACAGAATCTACTCAGTAAGTACAAATCTGTGCCATGCTTCCTCTACTAAAGTCTAATTGATTATGAAGATATTGCATTTGTTAAATATCGCTCTAATTTAGTGCTTATGACACACAATAAACCGTTAGGAAAGCTGACTGCTTACTGCAAGTGTAGACATCCAGTGATTTGTAACATTAAACATTCAAGGCCAATCATAATACGTAACGTCAAAATACTTTCACAATCTCCAACGTGAACGCGACGGTTCAAGCTGATAAGCCTATGTTGTGATAAAGTCGTATTTCCGGAAAGACAAGGCATTATATTTCTCTACTGCAAGAGCGTGGTGTTGGTTTACCGCCGGAAAGTCTCGCTCTGGGAAATGACACATATGACAGTTTTCAAAGTCCAGACGCTGCTGTTCACTCTTATTATTTCTTACATAACTCAACAAATACATTTGACGTATACAGTTTCACTGTCTCCATTTTACTGGCATACTCTAGGTGAGATGAGACGATCTCATTTTTCGAATGTTTTTCTTAGATCAAATCCTATTCAACTAGCACTGTGTCAGTTATGCAGCTATTTACATTGAAATTGAGGTCACATTTTGCTGAATATTTATGTAAACTCATTTCCGCCTTATCAAAAATACGACATTTTTTGAGTCATTTGCATGTAAACACTGGTTTTCATTTTTTAGTCTTTTCCCTAAGTTCTTCAGGGCCGTCGAAACTATAATAGCAACTTTTATATTAGGGTTGGTTTGAAAATAACAATAAAATCAAAGACTACTGAAACTCGGTCGCGCGGATTCGCTGCACGTGATGAGGATGACATAGTATACCTTAATTTCACTAGGTTATGTCAGATAAGAATGAAACCAAGAGCTACTGAAAATTCGTTGCCGCAGTCGCTACACGAGGGGGAGGAGCGTATCTTACGTTCATTTCACAATGTTATCTTAATAATAATAAAATAAGTGCTATTTATTAGGAGTCGGATGATATTCTAACTCGATATTCAAAACGTTACGTAAATTTTGTTTACACAACTGTCCAAAAGATTAAACTGAATAATTAACATACATGACCTTGATTACTGAGCTGAGCGTCCGGTTTAAAATTAAGTTGTTGTTTATTTTCTTTTTTTGGTAGAGGGGGGGGGGGGTAAATTTGGAATCTTAATCCTCCAATTACCGCCTAGATTGCAACTACATGGTTTCCCTTGACTACTATGTCACAATAAATGTATCAATCACAGTAGGCCTAAATGTGTAGTACAGAGTATAAACACTTAAACCGTATAACATCTTTTCTTAGTGTCCAATATAAACATGTCAAATCTTAAATACTTCTGGTGTGTGACGAGGGGGGGGGGGGTGAGTTGAGATAATTGTCCAGTCAAAAATCACTGTATAAACTATTGACGAAAAATTTAACGTAACATTGAACAAATCTGAAGTAATTTAATTCGGTGGGAGGGGGTGGACCACCATTTACCCTGCCAAAATTATATTCACATAATTATTTATTTATAGTTATACACAGCAGAGGGCAAATTAAATAAAAAAAACAAAATCAATCTTATATCTTTTATATAAAAATAGTCAATCAAACAAACCATTAAAACTCCAAAACCTTAAAAACAAAACTATAATTTGTTTTTTCTCTGAACATACTTTCCTTAATAAAATAATAATATCTTTTTTTTATTAACATTACGAAATAGTTTAATTAGCACAGCTTGAACATCATATATTTAAGAACAGAACATTATTTATTTATTTATTTAAATAAAAGAGAAGCATAACGTAAATTTCCTTTAACGCTAAGTAAACTGTTATACTTAGGGTTTGTGATTTTCGGTTTTAACCAATAAACAACCCCGATAAAAATAATTAAACTGATATTTTCCCTATGAAATATAAGTGGAATACCAGAAGGACCGGGTCTGCTCTGAAGTAGAGGCTCAACAAGAGAAGTGACCAGCTTCATCCTGAAGGACTTCTGTGATCATTCCAGCTGATTGGTCCTTGTCTTGTAGACAATAAAAACATCGATTGTTTGTTTGTTTTTGAATTTCGCGCAAAGCTACACGAGGGCTATCTGCGCTAGCCGTCCCTAATTTAGCAGTGTAAGGCTAGAGGGAAGGCAGCTAGTCATCACCACCCACCGCCAACTCTTGGG